TGATTTTTTTTTTCTAATGCTGTACGAATCTTAACAACAAATTTAAGCATCAATAATAAAATTTTAGTTTTTACTTTATTATTTTTTATATATAATTTTTTATTTAAATTTTCTAAAATGTAATTTAACAATATTAATTGATTATTTGGTTCTAATTTATTTGTAATTTTTAATAGTTTTACATATTATAATTTTTTTTCATTTATAAAATCATAAATTTATTGTTAATACTAATTTTATTATATAAAGCAAATATTTTTTATGATATTTAAAAAAAAAATATATATATATTCATCTTTTTTTTTAAATATAATTATCTAATTTTAAATAAATAGGCCTAATTTTAATAAAAATGTCAAATATTAATAATAAATTTGTATTATTTTAATTTTAATTATTATAATTTCTATATTTTAAAATAGATATAGAATTCTTTTCTTAATCCAAATATTAAGAAAAAGCTTATTTAATAATAAATAGGAGATTAAGAAAAAAAATATTCATTTGATTTGTAAAATATTTTCAATGATAAAAAAAAGTATATATATATAAATATAAAAGAAGTATAATAGAAAAAAAAGAACATTAAGATATTTAATAATTAAATAGAAACATTATATTAGTTTTAAACGATGAATATTTTTTAAATAAAGGCATTGAAGAAATTAGGATATTATTTAATTAATCATCATAAATAAAATTATACATAAAGTATAAAAGAAAATAAAAAATCTTATTAATAAATTATTTAATATTTAAATATCTTACGAATTAATTTATAATAATAAAAGGATTTATAAAAACATAAAAATTTTAGAATAACTTAAAGATTGGAAATAAGAATGTTAGAATATTTAAGAAATAAATATAATTTTTTTGTAAATATTTTATATTTCATACTTATTTTTTTACTTTTTTAAAAGTGGAAAAAATGATAATATTGAAAACGGATTAACTAATATTGCTTAAATAATAAGGCAGTCTAAAAATATAAAAAAGTTAAAATTTTCTTATTAGTAATTATAAAATATGCAAATAATATAATATATATTTATTAAAAATATATCATTTTAAAACTAACTATAATTTTAATTTATATAATTAATTAAATTATAATATAAAATTATATTTTAATCTTTTTATTATTATAATTTATTAGAAAATTATAATAATTTAACTCTAATTAGATTTAAAAACTATTTTAAAGTTTGAAATAAATTTAATTATTGGAAAAACTTAGTTTAGATTTAGGGTATAATAATATAAAATTTAATCTAATTAATAAAAAATTAACTAGAATTTTTTTTAAATTTGATGATTAACAAATTGATTAACTTTGCTAATAAATTGAATAAAAAGATAATTTAACTAAGCTTTCTTTAAATTTATTGTAAATAAATTATTTATTAATTTTTTTTTTTTTTTAAATATATATATATATATAAAGTAATAGCGATGATAATCAAACAAACATTTCTTTATTATTTTTTAGTAAATTATTATAAAATCAAAACAAACTTTAGTGCTTAAATTTGGATTTGAGGTAATAAAGTTAATAATAAATTAAATTATCGTTTTTTTTTAAAAAACTATTTATTTTTTAGTTAAAATATGATTATTAATGATGAAGGAATATACTCTATTTCAAAAGGACTTCATTATATTAATACATTAATTAAATTTTCATTAAACTTTTTGTACTATTATTAAAATAAAAATTAATTTCTATTATAATAAATTCTTATTTATAATTTTAAATTAATAGTAATAATGACATTTTAACTGATAAAAGTATAATCTATATTTGCAATATTTTAAAAAAACAAAAATTACTTTAAAAACTAAAATTAAATTTTACGTATAGAATAAAATATCTATTTAATTATAAAAATATTTTTTTTTTAGATACAACAATTAATTTACAAACTAATCATTAGTTTACTTAGGTGAACTTTTCTCTTAAACTAAGTTATTAAGTAAATTAATTTTATTATTTGCTGATTCTTGGGATTATGACTAATATGGGTATAATTTTAATTTTTATGTTTTAATTTTAAAATAAAAATAATTAGAGGAAATGAGAACTTTACTGATGAAGGAATGAAATATTTTTGTAAAGGAATTTAAAATCTCAATAAGTTAAATAAATTGTTATTAGATTTTGGGTAAAATAAATATATAATTAAAAAATTATATTTTTAATATATAATTATTTTATATTTGATTATAATTTTAATTAGATATAATTATTAATTTACTGACATAGCAATACAGTTTTTGAGAGAAGCTTTAGTTGAAAGTGGTTCTATTCTTAAATATTTTGAATTAAATTTTTAGTAATTTTACATATAATTAATTTAAATAATTACTTTTATTATTTAAATAATGCATATAGATATAACTAAAATTTTAGTGAGTCTAAAGTCTAAGAAGAATTCTAATAATTATTAAGTAAATAAAAATCTATAGAATTTATAGGAATTAACTTTTGGTAATAATAACATTTTTTTTAAATGAAAATATATATTAATTTTTAATATAAAATGTCACAAAATAAAAAATTAAAGGTATAATCAAAACTTTACTAATAAATTGATGTTTGGATTGAGCGAATAATTTGAAATTTTAGAACGACTTCATTCTATAAGATTAGATCTATAGTAAAATTATATTAATATTATTTGATTATTTTAATTAATTTTTAAATTGATATATTTTAATAATTATATTAAATAATTTAAGTTATTGTTATGGTATATCAGATGAGGGATTTAAATTTTTAAGGGAAGGCTTGAAAAACAAAAAACAACTTAAAATGTTTGATTTAAGATTTGGGTTTAAAATATAAAAAATTATTTTTAAATATTAATGATTAAAACGATTTAATTTTAATATTTTATATTAATAGAGAAAATACAAATTTTACTGATTAAACATTATATTATTTAGGTGAAATTTTAAAAGAAAATCAATTTTTATAAAAAGTTACTTTAAACTTTTGGTATATTTAATTAAAATATTATATGCAAATTTCTTGAAAAAGATAAATAAAATACAAATAATATTTTTAAAAATTTAATTAATATGTAAAAAACAAGATGAATATAATCTATATTTTTTATAAATATTAATTCCTATTATATTTTTTATTAATTATAAGATATATAAATTTATTTTTAATATTTGATTTTTTAGTTGTAATTCAAAGTTTACAGATGTTGGAATGGAAATACTCTTGAATTCATTTTAAAACATACTTTTTTTGAATTCTTTGGATCTTTAATTTAGGTAAATTAATATAATTTTTTTTTTAATAATATTAAATGATAAATTTATAAAAATTAATTTGTATTTTTATTTTTAGTAAATGCCTTAAACTTACAGATAAAATTATTATACTATTAAGTAGTATATTAAAAAAAAATTTTAATTTGAAAAGAATTAGATTAGATTTTGAGTAGACTAAAAAACTATAAATTAATTAAACAAATATTATGAAAATTATAATTTAAAACTTTAATATTTTTTTAAAAAAAGGAAAAATAAATAATTTACAGATTATGCATTTTAATTTTTAATTGATTCATTAAAAAAATTAAGATAAATTAATTATATAAGATTAGAATTTAGGTAAAATTTTTACTATAATTTATATCTATTTATTTATTATATTTTAAATTAAGAAGTCCAAACTTATCAAAAAATAAAGTAAATGAACTAAAAAAGTTTTTAGCAGAAATGCAACAATTAGAAGCATAGAGTATTTCTCTTAACTTTAAAGTATTATTTTTTTAAATAATTACTAATTACTATAATAAAAAAATATAGAATATATGAAAAAATTAAAAACTAAATATATAAAATCGATATAAAACAATAACAAAATAACTAGATATTTTTATGTCTAAAGTTTATAAAATTAAAAAAATAAAATATTTATATTTAAAAAACAAATATTAACAGTATTTAATAATTTAAATAATCATTTCATTTAAGATTATATGTCTTTTATGTCTTTTGAAATTTTCGTTTAATATGTTAATTGTTCTTTGTTAGTAATATGTTTGTTTTCTTAAGAATAATCTTTTATAAACTATTCACTTTTTATATCAATTTTTGATTTTTCTTTCTCTTAAATTACATCGTCATTTATAGAATAAATATTTTATTATTATTATCTGTCATTTATCAGATTCTATTATTATAAATTATTATATAATTTATTATCAGATTAATTTATTTCTTAACTTTTAACATTTTTAAATAAAGATTTTACTTTTGTATTTAAATGAACTAAAATTTTGGAGTCAACTATATCTATATTTTTTTAATCATTTATTTTTTTAAATGCAGTATAAGCTTCATCAAATTTCTAAGTTTCATTTCTCTAATCAACGAAACAAATATTAATTTATTCATCTTAGATTATTTTCTTATTTTTTGGTATTATTACAGGATTATCTATATAGTTAAATAACTTCAATTAATGTTAATCAAGAAGTAATATTTTAAGTTTTTCAACTTCCAAAAGTTTATTTATTATAAAGCTTATATCAATCATTTTATACATTTATTTTCTTGCACATTAAAATTTATTTATTTAAGTATTTTTGGATTTAAAAGGCCAAATATAATAAATTAAATAATCGAGTATTCCAAATTATATTTTATTACTATCTTATTTTATGTACTTTTCTATTTATTTTTACTTTTTTATATTTTAATTGGTCTACTCATTTTTATTTTTTTTGAATAAAATCTTTTTACTTAATATTAATTTAAATTTTTGATAAAAATTTTGATTGTGCTGTTGTTATTCATTTTAATTTTTATTAAATTTCATTTTGTTTTTGCAATTATGATTAACTTTCTAATTAAATTTCTAAACTGTATAATTCGTATTATTTAAATTATTATTAAAAATATTTTTGTTTTTAGCTTCATCTTTAAATTTACTTTATTATGTATGTTATATTTATTGTTGATTTTCTTATTAAATGAATTATTATAATAATTTTAATTCATATTTTTATTCTTTTTTAGTATTCTCCTCATTTTCTTCATAAAATTTAAATGTTTCATTAATTAGTTATTATTAGTACTACAATCGACTAAATGGAAATACGATAATAGCTCCAATAGCAATTAAACTTTATAAGAACCCTCCGAAATTCGAAAGAGCATCAACAATGTTTTTAAACTTAATATTACAAACTATTTCCTTATTTTCAATTGATTAAAAAGAACCAGTAAAAAAAAAATCTTTATTTTCATTCACATCTATAATTTCAGAGATCTATTCACCAAACATATATCCTTTATACTCTTTTTATTAATTAAGAATTCCAAATTATTAAATAACTTTAGTATTTTAAATAGTTACTCTTAACCTTCTTGGAATACTCAAAGAACAACGTGAAGTAAAGCTTTTGGTAATTAATTAAAGAGGTTTATTTATATTATTAGTATCTATGTTTCCAACAGTGTAATGAAATGAAAAAAAGGAATTAGCAATAGTTTATTGCATTTATTCTGAACAATTATTTAAATTACATTTAGAGACAAATATTTTAAAATAACTAATTTTATCAGAACCTCTATCCCCTTATATATATAAATTATGATTACTTTTAAAACAATAAAGCTCTTGTTTTTCAAGAAGTTATAAAAAATATTATCTAGTACTTTCATTCTAAAAGTGATTTTGAGTGCATTTTTCTAATTCTATTTCTTTTGTTACGTATTTTTATTTTTTATTTCCTTATTCATCTATAAAAGACTATAACAAATCTTAAAAAACTTTAATTTTATAAACTGATTCATCAATGAAATGAAGGAAACTCGTACCATACTAAAGTCCTAACGCTGCTTCAAAATTTATTTTTTAAATCAACTCTGCCTGGTTAATCTACTATTATTTCTTAATAATCTACTTAGGGGTTTACTCCATTTTATATAATAACAACTTCTTATATTAACTTATATAAAGAAAAAAAAGATATTATAATCGAAACTATAGCACCTAAGCTCGATTTATATTTCGTATTTTTTTTATATATAATATTAATACTTACTCCATACAGATCTAATTTTTTCAAAAAAGTCATTTATAAAGTTTTATTATATATTAAAATTTATAATAATAATAAACTTTTTTGTATTTTCAAAGAGAATAAATTTAAAGAAGAATAGATATTTAATATTAAGAATTTCTAAAAATAATATATGTATTATAAATTATGAATCAAAAATAAAAATTTAGTATGTGAAAAATATAATTTTTAAAGAAAAATTTACAAAAATAATAATTAAAAAATATCTAAAATTATAATAAATAAAAAAAAAAAATATAATCTAAATATAATTTTCAATTAATTAAAATAAAATAAAAATAAACTTTTGATTTAATTATATAAAATTTTACTATTAAAAAGTTTATTAAAATTTTTTATTAAATTTAATGCTATTATACACTTTTACGAAATATTTTTATTTATATTATTATAAATAATATTTTTTACAGAATATTTATTTTAAATAAAAAAATATCTTTTAAAAATTATATAATTATAATAAATCTATTTAATTTTATATATTTATACATATAAAAATAATATCTTAAAAATTTTAAAATAAAATATTATTTATAGTTTTTTATAAAACAAATATAATTATAATTTAAATATTTATTTAAATTAGTTTCCCCTAATTAAAATTAATTATCTTTTATTTTTATTTATATTATATATTTTTCTATTTAGTTGTAATTTTTTTGGCCTAAGATACTTATATTTTTAATAAATTATTTATAATATCTATTTTTCCATCCCTTTTGAATTTTTTTCATTTATTTTCTTTAACATAATTATTTTTTTATTTAAATTATTTAAAATTTTTTCTATATCTTGAATAATAGGCCTTAAGCTTAATTTTTTTCTTTATCTTATCAAAAAAATAATAAAAAAAAAAATTTTTATAATACTAATTAAAAAATTTATATTATTATTTAATTAAGATATTTTTCTAAACAGTTCTAAATAAAAAATAAATATACGGTTTTTTGATAATTTATAAAAATTCTAAAAATATTATTGATTTAGATTAATAATAGAAGTTTTGAATAATGATAGAATAATACTTCCTTAATATTAAAATTAAAATTAAATTTATATTTAAAAATAAAATAAAATAAATATACAATCATTGCCAATGAAATTCCATTATTAGCAATGAAAATTTTATATTAAAAATTATCTGTTTGTATAACTAAACATATTCTTTTTATATACTTTTTTATTTTCAATTTTTTTATACAATAAAATGCCTTTAAAATTATAGGGATAATATATAGATTATGAAACCATTCTTGAAATAACACCAATTGTAAATAATACTATTTATTTATTTTATAAATTATTTTTCATTTGAATATTAAATTAATATATACTTTCTTAATAAAATAATATATTGTGTTATTTGTTATTATAAAAAATTATTTTTAGCATTTTTTATGTGTAGAAATTAATTTTAATTAAAATTTAAAAAAATGAATATAATGAATTAATTATTACAATTAATAAAAAATTTCTATATAATACAAATATCAACTTGCTTAAATACTTGCTTATATAAAGATGAAATATAATAAATGGATAGAACTTTTTTTAAAAATAACTGTTTATAATTAAGTAGGTATAAATAATTAATAAATATTATTATAATAATCTCAGGAAAATACTTAATTAAAACTGTTATTAGAAGTTCAAATTATTTGATTAGAAATACATACAATAGTAGGAATATTAGAAAAAAAAGATTAAATCAGTTAATTTTTTTTATAAAATAATTACAAATAAAATACAATATAAAATATTGAAAGCTTATATAAAGATAATATAGAATTCATAATAATTAAAATTGATAAATCATAAATTTCAAAAAAAGAATAAAAGTACAGTTTATTAATATTAAAAAGTATATCAATGTTAGGCAATAAAATCTTAATTTATATATAATTTGGATGCATTAAATTTTATCGTTAATTATTAATATACATTATATTTTTGAATTTGCCAAATATATTTGTTGAAAGTTTTGGATATAACAAAATTTGTATTTTTAAATCATAATATTTTTATTAAAGATTTAAATTTATGTATAAAAAATTTATTATGTTGAAATTTAAGGTTTAATTTTAAGAATATAAATATTACAAAATTAATTAATATTGCATTAGAATATAAATTAAATATTTTTATCAAAAATACTTTAAATTAAGGCAATGTGCTTAAAAGTAGTATTTTATCAAATAAAAATAATTAAGTAAAAGTAAAGTCTTCAGTATAAAAAAGAACATAATTCAAATAATAATGAAGAAAAAAATAAGTAATTATTATAAATAAAGTTAAAAAGATAGAGAAAAATGATATAGTTCTAATTAAATTATAAAAATTTTATAAAAAATAAAATAATATATAATATATGAAAAAAAAATATAAAATATATTGATTATTTTTTATTTTTTATTTTTAATATAGAAAAAAAATATGCTAATATAAATAAATATTAAAATTAAAAGAATATTTTAATTATATGAATATAATATTTTATATTAAATTTATTATTTTGATTAATATTTAATTATTTACAAATTTTATATTTATTTTTTACTTTTTTTATTTATATATTTCTTTCTTTCTTTTAATTAAAAATATAATTCATTTTTATATTATTAAAATACAAATTTTACGATTTATTATTTTTATTTATTTTTTTATAAAAATATAATGAAAAAAAACTTTATTTCTGCAGAAACATAAAAAATATTAGATGAAATTTAAAATAATAAAAAGTAAGAAAGTTAAAAACGTTTAAATAATCTTAAAACATATAGTGTTTCTCAAATAAAAGGAGAAACAACACCACATTTTGTACCAAAACAATGTAAATATAAATTATAATATTTATATAGTTTAACTTAATACATAAATTATTGTTTTAAAATAATTATAAAAAGATTCTCAAAATACATAGATAACATAGATTAAAAATATTCCTGAATGTAAAAATCATAAAATTTATATTTAATTATAAAAATATAAAAAAAAAATGAATATAGATATTAACATATCATATAAATATGAAGAAAAAAATTAAGATTATTTTAACAAATACATTATAAAAAAAAATCGAAATGATATTTAATAAAATATATAAAACGACATCCAAGTATAAGATATATTAAAAAATAAAATAAAAAGAAGCCATGTTTTTGATGAAAAAAATTAAGAATAATAATAATAAAATTTTAATATAAGGTTAAGCACAATTATAAATTAAAACAATAGTTATATTTAAGAAAAATAATATTAACATTATCATAGTAAAAGTATTGAATAGCCACATTATTAAAAATTGATATAAAAGAACACAAAACTTAATAATTATAAATATAGTTAATTTAATAATATATATAATGATGAAAATAATATTAAAAAAGAAGAAATAAATGTATAATAATAATAAATAAATAATAATAAAAATAATAATAATAATAATAATAATAATAATAATAATAATAATAATAATAATAATATTAATATCATTTACTAATATTATTAGTAATAAAGATATAATTAAAAATGCAGATAATTTTATTATAAAAAGTTAAAAAAATTAACCTTATATATAAAATAATGTATCTTAAAAAAGTTCTGATGCATATGAAAAATTTGAAAATAATTATTTTTAACATTAAAAATCAATTTAAAATATTAATAATTATAATTTTGTTAATATTAAATAACCTTAAAAAAGTGTTGATTTGCGTTAACTCGAAAATATTTTTGATTTGTAAAATCATTAAAATAGTAGAATTTCTCAAAATTTTAGTGCTTAATTTGCATCATATGTTGATGATTTTAAATAAGAGGCAAAAAATAGCTAATTGATAGATAATTTTATGTAAAAAAGTTAATTATGTGAAAAATATTTAATATAAAGCCAGCTTTAATTAGAAGAATAGTCTTTACCAAATACTTAAAATTAATAACATAATTCACTAAAAAGTTTAACTATCGAAAACGTTTAAGAAATTAATAAAACTGCAATATAAAATTTATATCCTTTAAGTCCAGGATATGAACTTTAATTAGATAAAAAAAACTCTAATATATTTAATTATATGGGTGAAATAAGTCAATTAAATAATAAATATTCTAACATAAATTTAGAAATTCATCAGGAAAACTAAAATAATTAATTAGATTTAAGCTAAATTGTAGGAGAAAATCATTTTAACATACTAGTATCAAATAATAACTTAGACAATAGTTAATTTATCTAAAATCTTAACTCAAGTTAAATTAATAATAATAATATAAATGAGTAAGAAGTTATTCAAAACCAATTAGATAAATCAAACATATAATAAATAATTAATTCATATTTAAATTTAGATGCTTAGTAATAATCCTTTAATAATATTGATTAATAATAATACTAAACTACGCCTTAGACAAAAATATTAGATGCTTCTTAAATCAATATTAGCAAAATTGATATTTGTCAACAAGCAAATAATAATTATATAGAAAACAGCTGTTTGATCCCAAATATTGTAGATGATAAAGGAGGAGCACCTTTTTCGAATTTTCCAATTGAAATCAATAATATTTATAATTCACCTAATGTTCCATCATAACACAAAAACTAAAATAGTATTAGTCATTAAAATAGCTATTTGTATAGTCCTATGATTTTTCCAATATAAAATGTATATAAAGATCTTAAAAAAGAAGATGAAGGATTTTCTTTAATAAATTAAGCCAAAACTTAATAATAATAAAAGCATTTATATGCAACTCCGTCAGTTAGTAGAAATGCTGATGCTTTGAATATTTCAGATAATCCTCTGAATTAAAATATGTGTTCCTATTATTAATATTTAACAAATACTTCAAATATAATAGATAGTGGATAATTAAAATAATAATAAAGCTTGTACACAGAAAATAGTAAACATCATCATGGTAAAAGTTCAAATAAAAGTGCTTTTATAGGTGGTGAAAAAAAAAATATTGAATTAAGTAACAATGAGTATATAAATCCTTAAATAGAAATATATAAAGAATATGGGATGAAAGACATAAGAATTATTAAAAAATTAGGAAAAGGAAAGCATTCGGAAGTCTTTTTAAGTGTAGATATTAAAACAGGTTTCCTTTTTGCATTAAAAAAACTATCTAAAAAAGAATTAATAGAAGGTTATATGGCTGATTAATTTAGTTAAGAAATAAAAATTTAGAATTCTTGTTGTCACCCTAATATTGTAAAACTCTATGGATTTTTTGAAGATTAAAAATATTTTTATCTCATCATGGAATATGCACCAGGTGGAGAATTACACATGTTCTAAAAATAATAACCAAATAAATGTTTAAGTGAAGAATTAGCAGCTTATTACTTAATGTAAGTTTCCGATGCCTTATTTTATATACATAATAAAAAAATAATACATAGAGATATTAAAACTGAAAATATATTACTTTGCAATGTAAATTAAGATAAATATTAATTTTTAAAAATATATAAAATAAAATAATTAGAATTTAGCAAAAATAGCTGATTTTGGTTATAGTAGAGTTTGTGATGATAAAGAAAGTAGAAATACATATTGTGGTACATTAGATTATATGAGTCCTGAAATTGTAAAAGGTGAGAAATACAATAAATAGGTTGATGTTTGGGCTTTAGGAGTTATGGCATATGAATTAATGTAAGGAGTGACTCCTTTTTATGAAAGAACAAGAAAAGGGACTTTATAAAAAATAGAAGTTGGTTAATTTAAGTTTGTGAAATAAATTTCAGAGGAAGCTTAATCTTTTATCACCGGATTACTTAATGTTAGCATGGCAAATAGATAAAGTATTAAATAATAGTTAAAACATCATTGGATGGTGAAACATATACAGTTATTTGATAAATAAATGAAAGAAGAAATGAATGCTGAAATTAATAATGTAATTCTTTATAATAAAAATTGATTAATATAAAGTAAATATTATTAATTATTTTATATAAAAGTTTTTCAATATATAATCTTAAAATTGTTAAGATTATCTATCTATCAATATTATTTTTAATATTTCAAATTATATAATTTGCATTATTTATATAAATATAATTTTTATATTAAAATAATTATAATTTAATTACACGTGTAAAATTAATTAATTTTTACGTATGATTAAAACAATATAAAAATTTATATTAAAATAAAATATTAATTTAATATAATAAATAAAATATTTCTTTCGAATAAATATAAGATAAATTTATTATATATAAAAAAAATTTTAAAAATAATCAAAATATGTTAAAAATAAAAATATTATTAATTATATTAAAAAATCAAAAGATTAAAAACAAAAAAAAATGATTAAAGTAATCTCAAGACTTAGCATATTAATTTTTATATTATTAAAAGTAATAAATGCTGCTGTAATAGGTATCGATTTTAGTTCTTAATTCTTTAAAGTAAGTTTGAATTCTCCCAAAAAGTCATTTCTAATAGTAGAAAATACTACAACTAAACGAAAAACAATGACTTCTGTAAAAAAATAATTATAAAAAATCAATTAAAACTTTTATAAAAAAATAAACAAAGATTTCCTTTTTAGGAAGTGAAAGAATATATGATAAAGATGCATCAAATAAATAAGTGAGAAATCCCTACACATCTTTCGTTTTTTTGAATAAATTTTTAGGCGCTTTAGAAAACGATCGAGAAACATTTGAAACAGCAAAATAATATTATGAAGAATATTTAATATCTATCGACTCTGAAAGGCATACAGTACTATTTGAATTATAAAAGTTTTATCTAAACGACCCTGAAGAAAAAATAATACTTTCCGTTGAAGAAGTAGTCGCCATGATATTAAAAACTGCCAAAAAAAATGCTGAAATAAAAGCCGAACTCTAAAATATAAGAGACTGTGTCATTACAGTACCCACAAACTACTCTTTAAGAACAAGAACAGCCCTCGTTTAAGCTGCAAGAATAGCTGGATTATCCCCTCTAAATTTAATACATGAAAATACAGCAGCCGCATTGCATTTTGGAATTACAAAACTTGAAGAAGGAAGTTCAGAAACTGTTCTTTTTTACAATATGGGAGCTACTACTACGCAAGCAAGTTTGGTTGAATATCAATTTATTAATAATACATCTAAATTTGATACTTAAAAATCTATTCCAGTAATTACAGTACTCGCAGATTATGCTTTCAATGGAATCGGAGGTTATGCATAAGATTTAGCTTTGGCTTAATACTTTGCAGATGTAATAGATAAAATGCCAAATAGAAAAGGTTTGGAATCTTTTAGAAAAAATAGAAGAGGGATGGTAAAACTTTTAAAAGAATGTAATAAAGCTAAAGAAGTACTTTCTGCAAATAAAGATTTCTAATTTTTTTCTGAAGGACTTTTGGAAGGTTCAGATTTTACTTCTAATATTAATAGAACTATTTTTGAGAATATTAATCAATAATTATTTGAAAAAGTAACTATTCCAATATAGAAGGTTCTTGAAAGAAGCAATAAAACACTCTCAGATATTAATAAAGTGGAATTAATTGGAGGAAGTATCAGAGTACCTAAAGTTTAGTAAATTTTATAGGAATATTTGCAAGAGCTTAAGCCTGGATTCCATTTGAATGGAGATGAAGCAATGGCTTAAGGAGCCGCTTTTCACGCAGCTAACTATTCATCTTCATTTAGAGTTAAGAAAATATATTTAAATGATGGGTATAACTTTGATATAAGAATGAAAATTTAAGATTTGGTAGTTGATGAAAATTAATAAGAAGATAAGGATGGAGAGGAAAATAAAAGTTTCTAAAAAGAAACAGTTCTATTTTAAGCCAAAAAAAGATTTGGAAGTCGCAAAACATTGACTTTTAAACATGATAAAGATTTAAAAATTAGTTTATTTACATAAGATTATGAAGGAAATACATAAAATTTGGTTTCTTATATTGTAAATAACATTACTTAAATAACCTAAAATGAAAAGTATTAAGGATTTGGAAAACCTAAATTAAGTCTAATGTTTGAATTAGGAAGTATCAAAATTGTTGATATGATTTAAGTTAATGCTGCTTTGAATATTACTTAAATTGTAGAAGTTGAAAATATTAAACCTGTTGAAACTAAAAATATATTTTTAAGAAAGTAAACTATATATTTTTTTAATATATATTTCAAACATTAAATTAAGTTATGATGGAGAAAACGGAAATGAATAAGAAAATGATGGCGAAGAATTAAAAGATGATGGTGAAAATTTAAACGTAAATTTATTTAACAATCAAACTGAAAAGCAATTCTAAACTAAATACAAATTGTAACATTTTGATTTAGATGTTGAAGAAACTATTGATTATTTCATTCCTTTAAATCAAACTTAAATTGAATAATCATAAAAGAAGCTTGAAAGATTTGATAATCATCAAGAATAAATTAAAATTTATGAAAAAGAAAAAAATACCCTTGAATCTTTAATCTATCAAATCAGAGAATATAAAGACGATGAAACATATCTTAAATTTTCTGTTTAATAAGAAGTTGATGATGCTGTTAAATTATCTGATGAAGTATTTTTTTATATAAAAATATTAAAAAAAATAAAATATTTAACTAAAATTAAAAACTAAGAATGAAGAATGGTTAACTAGTGAAGAATCAAATAGCGCAAAAACTGAAGACTTTAAAAAAAGAAGTACATAAATTTATAATGTAATAAGTCCAGTAATAAATAGAATTAATGAATATGAAAAAAGACCAAAAGCTATGAATGTTACCAAATCAAAAATTCTTGATTTTGTTTAAAAAGTTGAAAGATTAAATGTTACTCATAGCCATATCACTTCAGAATAAAAAATTCCTGTTTACTTATTACTTAATGAAACTATTACTTGGATTAATGATGTTGAAAAAAAATAAAGCGAAGCTCCTTTGAATGTAGATCCTTTATTCACTATTCTTGATTTAGACAGTAAAGTTAATGAAATTAAAAAAGAGTTCGACAAATTAAAATTAATTTAAAAACCTAAAGTAAATATTATTTTTTAAATATATATAAATTTATTTAGGATGATAAAAAATCTGATAAGAAAGAAGATGCTAATAAGAAAAAGAAAGAGAAGAAATAAGAAGATAAAAAAGAAGAGAATAATGAAGAAAAAAAAGAATAATAATAGTAAAAAGATGAAAAAGAAGCAAAAGAAGAAGAATAATAATAGCAATAGCAATAAGATAATTAAAATACAGTAAAAATTAATGATAAATAATTAAAAAATATATAATTTATAGGGTTAAAGTAATCAAAAATAAGAAAACATTTAAACAGATCTTTGAAAAAAAAAAAATTATATAACTTTTTTTTATTATTTTAAGAAAAATAGTTAAGGTATATTTTGTATTAAAAAAAACTAAAATAAAAATTAAATTTATAAAATAATCTAATAATTAAATATAAGCAAATATATTAATAAATATAAAATAAAAATTAAATTTTATTTTTAATATTAAAGTTCATATTTATTGCTATAAATAAAAATTAATAAAACTTAGTTTTTTATATTTTTTTTGAAGATTTTATAAATGTTTCTATTCTTCTCTTTCTATAAAATTGCCTATTTTTTTCAAAAAATAAAAGACATTACAATTTTAAAATATATTCTAAAAATTAAAATTTATACTTCTTTTTCTATGATCTTGATTAAAATTAAGACTTCCGAACTAAGCAATCCTTTCTTTAAAAGGAATAATATTACATTTTTCAACTACAGTTGAATTTTTTTTAGAATCAGCATGCATTCCTCCGCTTAAAACATCTTTACAATTAGTTCCGGTATGCATAAACGGTACATTCCATAAATTCTATTAATTTTAATTACTCTCATTTCTATCATGTCTTAACAAATGTTTTTATTCTTGCATTTTTTTATATTCATTAGAAATTTTTTAATCTCCTCTTGTAGGCATTTAAGGCGCTTAATCATTAGTTATGTTTTCACTATTTTTATCGTCATCATTTTTTCCTGTTATAGGGTTAATATTAGGTTTATTCTACATATATTAAACTGATTTCTTTTATCTTACTTGGAAATAGTCGGATGATTATGAAGGTTGTAATTATATTTTTCTTTTAATTTTTTACGTTTGTATAAAATATATTAATTTTTTTATAAATAACTTTTAACAAGGACGAAATGTCTCAGAATTTTCTTAATTGTTTTATTAGAAAATTTTATATATATTATCTTAATTAGAAAATTAAGTCATTTTAACAGATGATTTAAACTCAAATTAGCTATTATTTTCATATTAAACTATTGGATTTTATAATTTTTAAGTTTATTGGTTTTTAGGACTATTAAATTAATATATTTTTTAATTATAATTTTTTGCAAAATTTAATTCTTCGTTATATCTATAATTTAACATTTTTATTTTATTATAAAAAAAACTATTTAATAAAAATTTTAATAAATTTTTAATAAATATAAAATAGCGAATATAATGCATGAATAAGTAAAAATATATATATATTTTTATTATTATTATCTAAATTAAAAAGAAAAAACAAATTAAATTAATAAAATTTTTATCAAAATAATAATATAATTTTTTTTAAAATACACTTAATATATTCATAAATTAATTATATATATAAAAAAAATCATAATTTAAAAAATATGTTTTGGAAATATATAGGAGCATAAAATCCACCTAATTAGTCTTAACAATTCACAATAGTAAGTGAAGATTCTGAACTACCTCCAAATTTTATAATAAAAATGCGTGATTTAGAAACATTAATCGATATTTCCGAAGAACCTGATATAGGTTAAATAAAAAAGCTTATAAATTTATACACGGAAGCAGTAGAATATTACGATTTAGATGAAGAGGGAAAATGTTTAAAATATAAAAATAAGATAATAAATGTGTACAAAAAGCCCAACGTAATAAATTCTATTAACAAATTCGAATAATCTTAAAAAGTAAATCTATAGGAATAAATTAATAATAGCACAAAGCATAAATCAACCTAAGAAGATGAGAGAAAAGAAGATTTAAATAATGAAGAGAATAATTAACATAATACAGGAGGAGATTATAATAAATAAACAGTGGGATAATAAAAATTACATATTTTTAAAGAAAAAACTACTTCATGCGCAGTTACAGATGAAGAAGTAAATAAAATTATTGATTCTTAAGAAGAAAATCAACTAGAATAATAAGTTGTGATAGAAAAAGATTTAAAAAAACAACATAATAATATTTTAAAAAGACTTAATAAAAGGTAGAAAAAAAGAAAGAAAAAAAATAATGAATTAACTCCTATTGCTTAATCTATTGATATATAGGCTGATTATGGGGCTGGAATATAATAAATTATCTAATCAAATGTTAAATAATTTAATAATTTAGATAATATTTTATAGAATTTGATCTAAAATAAAATATGTAGTCTCTAAGAAGAAAAAAAACTTTAAATAGAAAAAATAGAATTTAATTATGAAAAAGAATTATTCGAAATTCAAAAAAAAGGAGAAAAAATTGGTAAAATATATATTTCTAATTTCTAAAAATACAATATATTATATATTTTTTTAAAAATTAAATTAGATGAATAAACTTTAAATTAAATCAATGAGAACAAAAAAAATGTAATTAACGAAATCGAATAAAAATATTTATAACGCGAATAAGAAGATATATAAATTATTGTTTAAAAATTTAATAAATAATATAAATTTAATGATTGATTTTTTAAATAATTATTTAAATAAAATCATATAAAAATCTTTTTTCTATTATATATTTTATTTGTTTAATATATATATGTAAATATTATCTTTTTTATTTTAAATAAATTAAAAATAAATATGCATTTATTTGTAAAAAAATTTAACTATTAATATAATTTTATTTGACATATATAAAAAAATTATTTTTAAAAACATTTTCTTTTTTTTTCTCATTTGAAATCAACTGTTTCGTAACTAAATTCACTTTTATTATTATTTTATTTATTCATAAACAAATTGTTTTTATAAATAAATTAATCTTCAATTTTTCCACCATTTTTTTTTTATATTTATATATGTTTTTAGATTATTTAAGGATTATTGTTTTCATGCGTAGGCGCAAATTAAAACGGAAAAACTTATTATTAAATAGATTGTTCAAATGCTTCTTTTACTTTTTCTTAAGAATACTGAGATTATTTTTACGGAAGGGATTTTTATTCAGAATGGTGATGCTGTAATTATTCAATACTATTTCTTGGGTTTACTTCATTTATTTTTTGTGAAATTATTTATGTAGAATTAATAAGAGGAAACATTTTTTGCTAGTCACTACCTTTTGGCGAATTTAAATTGCGCAAGTTTTCTATACTATTCATTATTTCTTAATTTTATATAAAATATCTGAATGATTTAGTTCATGCTAAGTTATGTTTTATCTTTTTAATTTACTTTAATTATTATTTCTTAATTAAATTTCAATTACTTTTTATTAAAATTATTATTGAATATTACTATTATTATTTTATAGCGCATTTGATTAATTATTACATTATTATATTTATTAATTATTATTATTAATTTATTTATTTATTTTATTCATTATACTCTATTAATTTCCTATTTAAAATTAAACCTATTATTACTATAACATTTACTATTATAATTATACTTATTATTATTATAATTAAACTTATTATTATTATTACTACTATTATTATAAATATTATTATTATTATTATTATTATTATTATTATTATTATTATTATTATTATTTATTATTATTATTATTGTTATTGTTATTGTTATTATTATTGCTGTTATTATTTTTATTACTATTGTTATTGCTATTGTTATTAATTATTTATTTTACTTATTAATTATAAAGATTTTTGAATTTTTTCAATTTTTGAATCAAATTTATCTAATACTTTTTAAATTTCAATTTATTTTTATTTTTTAAGCATTTCTAATTCATTTAATAATTTACTTTCCTCAAGTTCTTCGAAATCCTCATTCGAAGTATGCCTTAAAGGTTTTGTCTACTCTTCTTAATTATTATCGTTAGTGACAATTATCTACACATCATTGTCTATATAGTCTTATTTCTAAAACTATTCTTATATTTTTACTGGCAACTCTGTATTTATAATTTTTGTTACAACTTCAAATATTGGATTTCTAGGCTATTCAATATTTTCCTTTACAATAACTGAAGATATAGGTTCTAAAACAGACTCATTCCCACATACAATTTAAGCATTATTCGTTTCCTATTTGTTTTCTTCCTTTACAGTTTGTTAAGAAAAAGTTTCGTGCGTTTCCGGTATATTTTCAAATGTGTTTTATACTTATTCACTGTTATTAAAATTCAATTTTTATTTATTTCTATGACGTTCAATTGCGTCACTAGAATTACTTACTAATTCAGATAATATTGCTTGTTTTTATTTAGATTTTTCAGTAATAAATTAATGTTAAATAAGCTCTTCAGCATCTGGACGTAAATTAGGATCGAAAGTAATACATTTTTATACAAAATCATTAAATTCTTTCGACCAATTTTTAGGATTTGTTAGACCTTTTGGAGGATTGTTTTATATTTTAAACATAACCTAAATATTTTTCTTGTTTAAAAAAAATAAAATAATACCATATAAGGTTAAAAATTAGAATATGGAGGTTCTCCTTCAGCTAATTCAATTGCAGTAATTCCTAAACTCCATATATCTGCTTTATAATTATATTTTAATTTTTAAGACTTCAGGAGCCATCCAACAAGGAGTTCCTATTCTAGTCATCTAAAAATAAATATGTTTAAGTAAAGCAAAATTTTTATAAAAAAGATATATTTATTTTAAAATAAAATAAATTATGTAATTATTTTTTAATAATTTAAATTAAATTATTTTTTTTAAAAAATAAACGTTTTTACTGCATTTTAATGTGAATCTACTAATTAAGCTGAAACCCCAAAATCAGCTAATTTCGCATTTCCTTTTTGGTCTAAAAGTATGTTTCCGGCTTTTATATCTCTATGGATTTTTTTATTTTAATGCAAATAAATAAGTCCTTTTAAAGTTGAATGCAATATAGAAGCAATTTAAAATTCATTTAATTTAATTTTTGTAATTATTACTAAATCGATAACACTACCTGCTGCACAATATCTTTTTAAAAAATATTTTTTATTTTAAATTTAAAAAAATTATTAAATACTCCATAATTAACCATAAATATGAATCTTTATAATATGATCCATAATATTTAACAATATATTCGCTTTAACATTCTTTTAAAATCATAATTTCCTTTTTTAAAGATGAAATTTCGCCTTCATTTGGCACCTTTTTAACTGCAACTAATTCTCCTGTCTTTTTATGTAATGCTTTGAAAACTTAACCATATGAACCTTATCCTAAATTTTATATGTTTTTATTATTTTTTTTAAAAAGATTTACCTAAATAATCTAAAATTTCAAAAATTTCTTCTGGATCATCTTCTGCTGTTATAATTTCGGCTAAATTGACTTTTGTAGTGTTCATTAAAAGTATAGATTTTTAAATTATTTTTATTTAATATTATTTTAAAAAAAAAATATTAAAAATGTTGATACAAATTGGTAATTTAATTTGTATTTTAAATAATAAATTATAATATTTAAATAGATTCTATTATATATTTTTTTTAATTTAAGACAAATTTTATAAGAAAAAATTATGATTTTATAAAAAAAAAATATTAATAATAATACAATTTTTTTTTTAAAATATATAAACTATTTTTAAAATTATAAAAAATAATAATTAATAAATTAAATTTTAATTATATATAATTTTTATAAATTTATCTTAATAATCAAATTATTATTTTTTTTATATTATTGTTTATTTTAATAAAAATAATATTTAATAATAAAGATAATATGTATAAAAATAATAATATAAAGAAAATATTTGATAAAAAAGTAAAAAATAAAAATACATAAGATAAAAAAAACATTAAAAAAAAAAAAGAATAAAATAAAAAAACTTTATAAAAAATGACTAATATATAAAAAATAAAGAAAAGAAAATAACATTAATTAAATAAATATAAAAAAATTAAATAAATAAATATACATAATCATAAATATATAAAATATAATATTTAATTTTAAATTATTTTTTAAAATATCAAAAAAACTATAAAAAATATTTAAATGGGTTGTTATTTATCTTCCCCAATAACTTTAAAAGACACCGAAAAGGGTCAAAACAACCGTTTCGAATATACTGCTGTAGGTATGCAAGGTTGGCGTACAAATATGGAAGACTCTCATATTGCTAATTTAAATTTCGACGGTGAAGACAAGTCCATATTTGGTGTTTTTGATGGTCACGGTGGAAAAGAAGTCGCAAAATTTGTAAAGAAATATTTCATTTAAGAATTAAAGGCTAACTAGTCATATAAAATTGGGAATTACACCTAAGCTCTTGAAGATACATTTTTTAAAATGGATTAATTAATAGCAAGTGCAGATGGAAAGCGTGAACTAGAAAACTCAAATTCAGGCTGTACAGCAAATGTATGTCTTATTGTAAATAATAAAATATATTGCGCTAATAGTGGAGATTCTAGAACTGTAGTAAGCCAAGGAGGAAAAGCTGTAGCACTTAGTGAAGATCATAAACCGGATAATTTAAAAGAAAAAGAAAGAATCTAAAAAGCTGGAGGAGATGTTTTTAATGGAAGAGTTAATGGAAACTTGAACCTTTCGAGAGCTTTAGGGGATTTGGAATATAAAACTAACATGGCGAATTCATAAAATAAAGACCCCAAAAGCTTTCTTATTACGGCCTTACCGGATATTAAGGAATTTGATATCACCTAGGAAACTAAGTTTATTGTTTTAGGATGTGATGGTATCTGGGAATGTAAATCCAATTAAGAAATAATTAATTATTTTAGTGAAAGTAATACTAATATGCCTTTAGATAAAAGAGCAGAAAATTTCCTTGATAGCATTTTGGCAAGTTCTACTATGGGATGTAATTCGGGTTTAGATAATATGACTATCATTATTGTTAAGATTAAAAATTGATTTTTTTTTTTCACTTTCCCTTTTTTTATATATTAGATAATTATTTATTTTTATTTTTTAAATAAAGTATAAATAAAAGGGAAATAAATAATAATTTATGAAATTTTATAAATTATCAGATAATTGAATATTTATTTATTTTTTTCCTTTTATTTAAAATAAAGAAAATAAATAGCACAATTAATAAATATTCAATAATTAAAAATATAAATATATATATATTTCTTATTTTATATACTTACTTATTTTCTTTTAATACAAAAAAAACATTTTATAATTACATTTAAAATATATATAAATTGATAGAAATATTAAATAAAAAATTATTATCCATAAATATATATCCTATTTATTTATATATATAAATTCTATTTTTTTTATATTTTTAATTTTTTAATTAAAAAAAATATTATTATTTTTTTGAAACTAACATCTAAAAAAAAATATATTCAAAAAATTAAAATAAAATGCCTCCTAAAAAAAAAGACGAAGAAATAAACACACAAGATTTACCACCTTGGATTTCTTTAAAAGTAATATTAAAATATCAAGGAAAAAAATCCCGTTACTAAAATCTTATCCAAAATCTAAAAATTAATCCAAAATAATTTTAAAAAAGCATTTTTGTTGAAGAAATACTTGAATTTGCAAAAGAAAAAGGATTATATGTTAATCCAAATAGTTTAAATGAAAAATAAAAAAAAGACCCGAAATAAATAGAATCATTAAATACTTAAATAACTCCTTAATTATTAGCATAATCATTCAATTAATTAATTTAAGATTTAGATATAAAAGGAAGATTAGCAAAAAAAAAACACTTGAAGGGAAAGAAGAAAAACCTGATTTAAAAAAGAGTTAGTTAAAATATTTTTTTTAATTTTAAAATAAAAAAATAGAGGAAGCTAAAAAAGACAATAAAAAAGTTGCAAAAAATGATATAGTAGAAGATGAAATTAAAAAAGAAGAAGTCAAAAACGAAATCGAATATTAAAAAGTGTTAGATATTATTTATTTTTTGAGTGATTTTCCAAAATTAGAAGAAATTTAATTTATAGAATAGGAAATTAATATAGTTTTTTACATAAAAGAATCATATTAGCATAATAATGAAGATTTTAATAATACACTACTCAATTAAAAAAATAATTTCGAGGAAGATTTGAAAGAAAGAATGGTATTTTTATTATAAAATAATATATCTTAATAAAATATTTATATATTTTTTTTTAATAAAATAGAATGACTTTATAGAAAATAATAATAATTAAAATGGTATTTTTTTAAAAAAAATATAAATTATATTATAAAAAAAAAAAGAAAACAAAAAAAACATACCATAATATGATGAAGAAGACATTATATTTATATTAGAAAATTAGAAATATATAGAAGAATTTAAAAAATAATGTAAAAAAAACTAACATATGAAAAATTCTTTCGTCCGAAACTTAAATTTTCCAATTAACATAAAAAAAGAAGATGAATCTCTCTAAAACTTTACCGAAAAATTAATATAAAATATTTTTTAATTTTCTATTGACCTTTGCGAATACCAAATATGGCTGTAAAGTAAACCTTTGTAAAAACTATGTCCTAAAGAATACCAAGAAACAATTAAAAAATAGCAAGAAGAAGAGGATTTAAGGCTCAAAGTTTTAAAAGAATAATAAGAAAAAGCCTCAAAAGTCGAACTAGAATCTAAAAACAAAAAAGGAGCATAAAAAGAGACTAAAAAAGATACCAAAAAAGTTGATGAACCAAAATAAATAAAAGAAGAAAAAAAAATAGAAACGATAGAAAAACCGCCTGAAATAATCCAAAAACTTTAAGAACCTTTTTTCCAGTATTTTAATTAATTAAATGAAATTGATCTTTAAAATACCACAACAGGAATTATATTGGAATGTGTTTTAGACAATATAGAATAGAAAGATGGAGTCTAAAAAATAAACGGATAAAATCAAATTTAAGATATAATAAACGATATTTAAAGCTTTATTAATTTATAAAATGAAAATCAAATATAAAATTATAAAAAGAAAATATAATTAACTGAAAAAGATAAGAATTTTCCTTCCAAAACAATTATTGATGAAAATGATTTGATAGAAAATAAAAGTTTTAATTTACATTTGAATAATTTTGATATTATTTCTATTAGAGAAAAATCGTTATTTAAAAATATTCTTTTACCAGGTGTTAATAGATTTTAAATGCCCTAGTAACCAACTAAAAATGAGCCTTAAAGAAAAGCAGAAAAAACTTAACTTTATTCATTTATAACTTCTGATGTTATTGAAGTATTTTTTATAGATATTATTATTTTAATCTATTTTTTATTCTTTTTTAATTTTAAACTTTTTTAAAAAATTTATATTAAAGTTTGAAAGAAGATAATCAATTTTTTTTTTTGAAAAAATAGCTAAAGAAATAGAAGCAAATAGGGATTGGGATTTTAGTGACAGAATTTATATGGAAAAATATGATTCAAATAATTTATCTTAAGTTTTATATCAAAGTCTTCTTTATGAACCTTTTGTTTATACAAAATATAATGAAGAATATGATAATTTATATATAATTATTTATTTTAAAAACCCCCCGGGAAGGATTTTAAGAAAAAAATGGCGTACAGAATGGCGAGTTATACCAAATATCGAAAATTGGATTAATAATTTTAAAAGCAACCCTAAAAATATGCAAAATAATTTTTTTTATGACATAGATAGTGAGAAAATAGGAAATATATACGAAAGTATCAAATATATGTATCCAAATGATAATTCAGTAATTTTAGGTGATAAATATTAAGTTGGAAATAATATGTATTATAGGTATTTTTTATTATATTTATTTTTAATATAAATTCTTTTGCTATATAAATAGATATAAAATAATTAAAGAAAATGTAGTTTTTGGAATAAACGAAACAAATGAAGGACAAGCTTAATTTTGGGCTTATTTTGAAAACAATTCTTAATTGCTTATAGAATTAGAAAATTTAACAAAGAAAAAAAATTAAGATTATTCTTTAGTTTCAACAGTAAAATATTTAATATTATTATAATTTTTTAATTTTTTATATATTAAATATTTTATTTTTTTTCATTTATTTCTATTTATCTTTTATATTTTTATTTTGTATTCATATATAATTATCATTTCTATTTTTTTTTTATTTTATTTTTTTATAAAGATGAATTAATTAAATGAAGATTAAAAATAAGAATAAAAGCAAGAAGAAGTAAAGGAAGACTTGTAAAGTTAAATATCAATAACATTGCCAAACGGTTTACTATTGAAATTTTTACCTAATGGAGATGTAATTTAAACTAAATTAGACACCGAAAAAAAACATTCATATAAAGACTTCGAAGATATAGTAACACCCCATGAGGAAAATATTAAAAACACAGAAACTGAAGTAAAAAGGATGATTACAGGAAAAGGGAGTGTTATAAAATATATGAAAGATGGATCTACAATTATTCTATACGCAAATGGAAATACAAGTTTTTCCTAATAAAAAAATGGTATATGGATTACCACAAATAACAAAGTTTATTTTTTTTTTCTTTAAAAAAAAAAAAATTAAAGAAAAAAATAATATATAGGGTTTTAGAAAAGTCAAAAATAATAAAGATAATACAGAAATACCTTTTTAAAAATTAAATATTTAAGAAAAAATAGATCCTGAATTATGTTGTAAAATAATAATTCGCGAAGATCAAACTTTAATAATAACATACAAAGATGGTACTAAATATGTAAAGCATCAGGATGGAACTGAAATAATAACTTCTCCAAAAGGCGAATAAATAATAGTTGAACACCCATGTATTATTATAAAAATATAATAATAATTATAATTTATTAAAATTAGAATTCGCTACAGTGAAAGTATTATTTGATGAAGTTACAGCAAGAGCTGATACAGTAATTGGAATGGGAAGTTCTTATGCAAATGTAGGTTATTAGAATCTTTTTGAAAGATCAAATGACGGCAGAGTTATTGAAACATATATTTAAGATGGTACAAAAGTAGTTGGATATACGTAAAAAGAATTCTTATTTTTTTTAACTTAATAAAAATAAAAAAAGTGAAAAATAAGAATTACCTGGATATAATTAATGGATAAAAAATTTCATTTATTTAATTTACATGTAAGATGGAAGTATATGTAAAGTACTCGATAATAGCGAAATTGTGTTTATTTCAGCTGTAGATAGGGCATCTTTAAGAAAAAACTCAGAAAATGATATATAATATTGGTTGTAACTTTTTTGTATCCGTGAAGAAAGAAAAGGAGGTGTATATTCTGGAAATTTAATCCAGAAATGTATATGGACGAAAGATGATGAAGGCAATTTCTTCGAAATAAAAAGTAATGGAGAAATATCTACAAAAATAGCAGTTTCTCTTAATTTAAATCAAGATTAATTTCAAGGCATTCCTTTTGTAAGACCTTCTACTCCTGAATTTTAACAAGAAGAGTATATAGAAGAAGAAAATAAATTCCTACCTTAACCTCCTACTTGGATTCCTGTGAAATTATTTGTAGTTTAAAATGATAATACAGGATATTAAGTAATTATTATATATTTTTTATTTATTTAAAAATAAAAATATATAGCTTTTAAATGATGAATAATTAAATAATTACATAAAATTGAAAAATGAAAATAAAAATTGTGTAAAAATAGAAGAAAAAATAAATTCAACTTAAAATTGTACTTCTATTAGTTATATTACTCAAATTCTTAGTATAGAAGAATAAAAAATTAAATTTATTAATCCTATAATTCCCAAAATATTGAATACCATTCCAAGTACATTAAAACAATAAACAGAAGTTTAAAAAAAAGCTTATAAAGTCAGAAATTTATTGAAATTTTAAAATTTTAATCAGCATTTGAGGTAGTAATATTAAAAAGATTTAGATAATTATAATTAATGGAAAATTAAATAATAATAATTAAAATAAAGCCTTAAAGTTATTTAAAAAACAGAAGAATAAAAAGATGCAGAATACCATATATAACTAAAAATTTAGTAGAAACTTAATTAAAATTAATAGATACTTTAAAATTCTAATAAATGAAATTGGATAAATAAATATTATTATAATTATCAATAATAAAAACAATTATTTATATAAATTATATATTAATTTTTTTTTTTTAATAAAAAAAATTAATTTTATATAATATGTAATAAAAATTAGCAATTTTTTTTTTTAAAAAAAAAATTTTTAAATATTCGTTTAAATTAATTTTTTTATATTAAATTTAATTACAAATAGCCAAAGTTTATTTAAAAATTTAATTATGAATGAACAACAAGCCATTTAGGCATTAACTGACTTAAGCAATCAATTAAATCTAGATGATGAATCAGACATAAATTTAAAAAACCTATCAATTACATTAAATTAATAATAAGAAGAAAAATACAATAAATAAAACTATTAGGCCTTAAAGTTACTAAAACTATAATAAAATATCATAAAAATTAAAATTACAAAGGCAAAGTTTTTATTAGAGTAATTTACTTTTTAATAATTTGCTAAAGGAAAATATGTATTCATAGGCAAATGATTAATAAAAGTAAAAATAGAAAATATAAGAATAATAAAACGAACATAAATAAAATGTTAAAAATTTTATGTAAAAATAAATTATGAGCAATAAATTTAAAAAAATTATTCATTTCTAAAATAATAAATTTAATAATAATAACTTACCTTAAACAAAAGAAAAAAGATAAAGATCAAAATTGATTAATGAATAAAATAATTTTCAAAATTAAACACTAAACTTATTTTAAAACTATTCTTTATTGCCAAGAAAATCTTTAAAGTATGCTTAATATATTTAAATTTAATTTTTACTTATTTATTTCTGATAGTTGTAAAAAAGAAATTTTAAAAAAATCCTCTAAAGATTCTTTTAGATAAAGTTGCAATTCTTTAAAAAATTATTAAAAAAATAATTAATAGTTAACTGAATAATCATATTTTAATTCTAAAAGCTACTAAAATAGTTTAATGGTATTAAAATATTTTTTAAAAATTTAATTATATATTTTTTGAGATTTGTGGATCAAAAATAAATACAAGATTTTCATTTTAAAGAAAAAATCATGCAAATAAATAAAAAACTTTTATTAGTTATAAATGAAAAAAAAATATATAAATAAACATTATTTTATGTCTATACAAAATTTATAAATATAATATTTTTTAAAAACAAGATGTTTAATTTTCAATTTTAATTCTTTTTTTAATAGATAATTTAATATTTTTAAAAAAAGTTAGAATTTTAAACGAATGCAAATAAATTGAAAACCTTTATAAAATACAATAATTTATACTTTTTACATAAATAAATTTAATAAAAATTAAAAACAGTTTAAATAATATTTATAGTTATGTTGATGTTGAGATATTATATAATAAAAATATTAATAAAATATAAATAGAATTAAAATTTGTTTTTATGTTAATATATAAATAAATGCAATAAATAAAAGATTATATAAAACAAAATTAATAATTATTACAATTAATTAATATAACAAATAAAAAGAAAGTAAAATAATAATAATATATATATGTAGCCAAGTAATATTATTCTTTATAAAAAACAATAACCAAAAATTTAAATAAATTAAATATATAATTCATAAAGTAAAGCACTAGTCAAAAAAATAAATTAACTTGAATTAAGTTTTCGTAAAAATTTATCGAAATTAACAAAAAGTTTATCTGATTAATAAATAAAAAATTTATAATAGTTTCTGATCACAATAATTCAATAGAAATGAAATATATAATTTATTATCAAATATCATTTATTCGATTAATAGTTAATTTTCTTAATTTTTTTTTAATAATACATTAGTTTTTTAAAAGTCGAAATTATTAATTTAATTAGTGATACAATAAAATATTTTTTTAATTTAATCAAAATATAAAAATGTTTTAATTAATAAAAAAATATATATATTTATATTGTTTCAAATAAAATAAAAAGGGATAAAAATAATTTAAATATTAACAAAAAATAAACAAGAAATGAAAATAAAAAAGAAATTATATATATTAAATACATACTAATAATTAAGTTCTTAATATTCTATTATTTATAATTTAATTATATCACTAAAAAAAATAGTTTTTCATTTAATTTCATTTAAAAATTAATTTCTTTTCAGTAATAAATTTTAGCATTCTTAACAATTTTAAAATTATGAAACCGCAAAAATTGCATCAAATGTTGTGATTCCAGTTTCAAAATAAGCTTTATCCTCTGCTCTTGTACTAATAATTATCCTTTAAGTAAAAATATTTTAATTTTTAATTTTTTCTTTTAACTCTTATTCCTAAATTTAAATTTCTTTAATTAATAAACTTAAATAGTTTATATATTATTCTCTAGAAATCGGTTTTTATACTATTTATTAAGATATCATATGCTAGGCTAAATCTCTAGAAAAGGCTTTCTATATTTTACCTTATTACTACCAAAATTACATGCTTTATATAAAAAAATCATTATTTAAATTTAAAGAAACAACAATATCGTTGATTGAATTATTCAAAATTTTAAAATATTAATTATATAATTCTAATGTTAAAATTTAATAAGTTTCAATTTAATCATAATTAATTTATCTTTATTATGTTAATTTAACTGTTATATCAATTAAAATGTCTAAGCATAAAAGGACACTTCTATGAATTATTTTTTTTAAACTATCTAAATTTAAATATTCATTAAAATATTCAATTTTTATATCCCTTAACATCATTTATTTAAATTAAATTTCGCTTTGATTTTTAACCTTTATTAATTAAAATAAAAAATATAATTTTAATATTTTTTTTTACTGACTATATTAAATTTTTCATTTTTAAGACTGCTTCTTTTTTTGAAATTCCTGAATTATTTTATATGCCTTCAATTACATTTTGTTTTTGTATTTATGTGTTGTTTTATACTTTAATTTATTCTTCCTCTTAGTTAATTAAATAATTAAATATTCCTATACCAGCTAATAATGAAACACCAAAGAAAATAGGCTTTTTATTATCACTCAAAAAAGACATCATTCAAAAAAAATTATTTATTTTATAATAAAATAAAAAAGATATATTTTGTAAGTTAGTAGTGTATATATATTTTTTTATAAAAATTATTTCCAAAATTATAAATTATAAATTTACAAGAAATAAATTTCTAATTTTTTAATTTTTTTATATATTTTTTTTAAAAAATAAAAGTTGAAATATTACATATATTTTTTAGAGTTTGGTCTTATTTTTATGTGTTATATTAACTTTTTTTTTTTCAAACAAAAATTTAATTAAATGATTTCACTAAGCAATCAGTTTATTAATTTAAATCTATTATTAAAATAATTAATTAAGATATATAATATAAGCTAATAACAAAATTATTTTTAATATAAATATTATATTAAATTATAAAAGTTAAATAAAAAAAATATTTATATGTATTTAAAACAAAAAAATATTTTATTTGTTAAAAAATATCTATTAAAATCAGAAAATAATTAAAATAGCAATTAATTATTACAAAATTATTTTTTTTGTAATTAAAAAAAAAAAAAAGTAAATCAAATTAAAATTTAATTACTATGGATAATGGTAAAAATAAAATAATTTAATTATAATCACAATCAATAGTAAAGCTTTTTTATAATTTTTAATAGTTTCGAAACTCTATATATATATATAATTGTATTAACAATACTTTCTAGTTATAACAAAAATTTAAAGTTTTAATTTAAAATAAATATATTAAATTTATTAAAAAATCAAAATATATAAAATTCAAAGAAAACAGAATAAAAAATATTTCATATTTTTAAATATTTTAAACTAAATTAAAAAATATTTTGTAAAATTATTAAAAGAAATATATTCTTCTATTCAAAATCATTAAAATATTTTAAAGTTAATGTTTTAATAGCATTAAATATTCTGTATTTCTATATATTTTAATTAAAAACTACATAAAATTATTTACAGGTAATAAAAATACTTTTAAATATTATATAACTTATTAAAAATTATTAATTTTTTTAATGCTTTTATTAATATAAACTCATCATTAAAATAAAAAAAACTTTTGATTATTCTTAAAAACTATAAATTATTTATTTTTAAAAATTTTTATGCAATCTAAATTATGAAGGGCCAAAATATATTCTAACCATAGATAGTGCTTCTTAAATGCAAATACTTATAATTATTAATAATGCTAAAAATTTAATCCTAATAAAAATAAAATATATGAAATTTATTTATCACCTAACTTTTTAAAAAAAAAATAAAAAAAAAAATTAAATAAAATTAATAAAACAAAAAATATGAATAAATTATTACAAAATTCACAAAAAAAATAAAAACAATTGAAAAAAAAAAAATATTAAAAATATAAAAAATATATTAAAAAAATAAAGTGAAAATAAGAAAAAAAAAAAAAAAAAATTAATTAATAAAATAATATCAATATTTTTTAAACTTTCATTCACCATGAACTTTTTTTATCCATTTTACACGAATTCCTTCTATCCACTCCCCTTCCCTTTCTTATTAATTTTACCCTATATAAATACCTTTACCATGTTATTTACCATTAGCCCACGTACCAATAAATTTTCTTCCATCAGCCCATTCAAAAGTACCATATCCATGTTTTCTTTAAAGAAAAATAAAAAATTTGTATTTTTATAATTAAACTTATCATCGAAATATTCCCCTATATATTTTCTACCATCACTCCATTTAAACTCTCCTTTTCCATTCCTTTATATATATATATTTAATATATAAATATTTATTTTAATATGATAATTTATATTTATTTTAAAATAAACTTTTATTAAAAAATTAATAATGTATATATTCATTTTATTTATTTTTTACATTTTATTATTTTTCCATTAACCTTTATAAGTTCTTCCATCATTCCATGTATATTATCCAAAACCATTAATCTAATTTTTCTATTAAAAAAAAAAAAAAAATTAAAAAATTAAATACATCATTATAAGAAAATTCCCCTTCATACTTAGAACCATCTGCCCAAACAAAATTTCCTTTGCCATGCTTTTAATTATTTTCATATTCCCCTTCATATTTTCCACCATCAGCCCATATTTCAATACCATAACCATGTTATTTATCATTTAACCAATCTCCTTAATATGTTGCACCATTAAAATGCTTATAAAATCCTTTTCCATTAGCTTTATCATTTTTCCAGTCGCCTTCATAAAAATCTCCTTCTGCATGTATTAATCTTCCTTTCCCACATGCCATATCTTCTTCCCAATATCCTTTTGATTATATATATATATAAAAATATATGTATTTATTTATTATATTAATTAGTTTGATTTAAAAAACCTTCATAAATACTTCCTTCTGGACAATATTAAATTCCTTGACCGTGTCTATATTTAGAAAAATAAAAACCAATTTTTTTTAAATATAGTAATAAACAAAAAACATACCTTTATCCATATTTCCACTAACCAATATATATAGATTTATTTTCGAATTAAAAAGGGCCTAAAAAGGGTATATCCTTAAAATTAATTTTTTTTTTATCATATTAAAAATTAGGTAATGTATTATAAATTGTAGCTGAATTTTATGTTTTATAATCTGGAATTTCCACTATTCTGATAGCTATATCTGATTTAGGTCTATGTAATTTAATTAATTTTATTAATTTTGTGTCTGTAACACCTTCCAAATCTAAATTATTTTAATCGTCTTCTTTTTCTTCATTTTCGTTTGTTTAACTTTTGTTATCTTCATCGTCGTCATCATCTTTTATTGTTGAATTATCTTTATCTAAACTTTGTTCAGTCTATTTACTTTTATTTAATTTATTATGAGTGTTTTAATTGTTATTTTTTTAACTGTTTGTATCAATTAAAATATCGTCGAATATTTTTGCATTTAAATTTTTTGGATGGAATTCGATTTCTTATTTTTCACTTTTTATGCCGTTATTACAACATATACCCATATTTTTTTTTATTAATTTTATGAAAGTATTTTTATTATTTTATTCTTTTTTTATTTTTCTAATTAATTAACTTATTAAATTTTTTGATTAAAATAATATTATTATTTATTTTTATTAATTTTATTATAATTTTTAACTAGAAATTAATAATTTAGCGAAAATATATAAATAAAAAACAAAGAATCGTATTTTATTATTATAAGATTAAAAAAAAATATTTTATTATTATTTAAAATTTATATATAATTAATAAAATATTTAATAATAATAAAGTTAATTTACTAAATATGTTTACAATAGAAAAATTTTGATGTATGTAATTATTTGCTTTGATATTAATATAATTTTTATCAAATATGGAAAGACTAACATTTATTTCTTCCATTTTAAACATCTTGTCTTTATTTATCATATTTATTTATATAAGAAATATCATGTTAATTTTAATAACAATCTCCTTTTCTAATTTATCCATATTTTTTTTTCTTTCTTATTCAAATAAATATAGCTTTTCTTTAGTTGAAGGATATATTAATGCAATTAGTGGAGATCTAGCATTATATAATCCACAATGAGTATTTTTAATAAACATAGGCCTAATTTCAATATCTGATCTATCTTTATTTATTTAATATCTCACATATTATTTTAAATATTTTATTTAAAAAAAAAAAAAAATACTTAGGAACTTTTAAACTTTACTCTTTATTAACTAATTTATCTGGAAATTCACGCTTTATATTTTATATTTTATTTAACTAAGGATATTGTTTGGAATATTCATCAACAAGAAATCTTTTTTTTTGCATATTAAATGTATTTTTACGAAATAACCTATTTAATTCTTTATTTTTTTAAAAAATTCCATATATAAAAAATAAAATATAAAACCTTCTTTTACTTTTGGAAAATCTGATTTATTAAAAAACTATTCCATTATTTTAGTCACTATGTGTATAATACAATCAAAGAAGTTTTAATCTTTATTTCTATTTTTTAAGTTTCCCCAATGTAAAATAATTAATCCATATGCTATGCCCTCAAAAATTATTTGGTTTTTAATATTTTTGTTTTTATTTTATTTTTACACATTCTTTAGCTTTATTATGTATTCTTTAAATTTCAGATTAAAGAAGTTTAGGATTTGTATTAATTCTTAAATATATTAATTTTATTTTATTTTTTTTAAAAAAACCTATCTTTTGCTAATTCTTTTAGAATTTCATGTTTTTTTTCTAATTTGTTTAAATCCTTTATTTTTAAAAAGAGAGAAAATAATAAATTTAATTTTTTAAACTTAATTAATTATTACTGTACAATAATTATAGATACATACTAATAGTCTTAGAAAGTCTTTGCTTATTAAAAATTTCAAAAAGTTTTCTTAAATAATTAAATCAGTTTATTTTTATTTATCCCTTATCATTTGATAGTATTTTTCTTCTTTTTTATAATAAAATTTTTTATATGTAATTTAATATTTTTGTAATGTAATTTAATATAATATCAACTAATTATTAGAATAAACTATTCTTCTTATTCTGTATATGATATGGACTCTCTATTTTTATTATATTTAAATATATTCTTAATAATATTATATTTAAAAAATATTTTTTATATAAAAATACTGCTTTAAAGGTAATTTAGTAAACAATGATTATTAAATTTTTTATTATTAAACTTAATATGAAATATTCATTTTTTTTTTAGATCTTTAAAATAAATAAATAAGTTAAAAATAAAAATTATATACTTATATTATTTAAAAAAAAAAATCAAACTGAAAAATAAATAATTTAATACACAAAAAACAGATATAAATAAAAATAATAAAAATTATAACAAAATGGATTTATTCTAAAACTACTAAAATTTATGCAAAACAATTGTACGTCCATAAAGGCAATAATATAACATTACAGATTTAGGTTAAAATTAATTGAAAAAAAAAAAAATCAAAGAAAATAAAAAAAAAAAGGTGAACCAGTATTTTTATTAAAAAAAAGTAAACAAAAAATAAAAAGACACGACTTTGACATAAAAAATAAAAAAAATCAAACCTTAAAATGCAGTTTTTATATGTTTAATGATTCACAAATTGCATTTCCATGCGTAATATATTTACATTGTAATAGCGGTAGTCGTTTAGAAGGCCAAATGTATGTAGAATAACTATTAGAAAAGGGCATGTAGGTATTTTTATTTGATTTTTCAGGTAGTGGATAATCAGACGGTGAATATATTACATTAGGAATTAATGAATTGTAGGACATTATATGCGTAATTAATCATTTAAAAGATAATTTTAAAGTATCTTCTATAGGATTATGGGGGCGTTCTATGGGAGCCGTAACAGCATTAATGTACACAGCAGAATTCAATAAAAATATTCAATGCATAATCCTTGATTCACCTTTTTGCAATTTCATGAAATTAGCGGCACAATTAGGAAAGGCAAAAACTGGACTTCCGAAATTTGTCCTAAAAGGAATTTTAGCTTTTTTAAAAAACACTATTTAATAAAAATATGGATTAAATATTGAAGATTTAGATATTATTAAATATAGCAAATAATGTGAAGTTCAGGGTCTTTTTTTGGCAAGTACTAAGGATACTTTTGTAAATGCCAAACATGCGGAAAAACTAAATAATATATATAAAGGAATTAGTAAAATTTATTATTTTGAATGCGATCATCACGAGTAAAGGCCTTAAAATGCCATTTAGGAATGTATAAATTTCTTAAATGAAAATTTGGTAGTTAAATAATAGAAATAAAATACTAAGTATAAATTAAGGGAAGAAATAAAGAGTAAATAGACGAGTGAAATATCTTTGGATGTTAAATAAAAGCTAGAAATTAATAAATAATATTAGAATCATAGTTCAAGCAAAATTTAATTATAGCAAAATTAAAATAGTTGTTAATAATTTTAAAATTAATTTTAATAATAGTAAATAATTTAATAATAATAAGACAATAAACAAGATACATTTTTCTAACCTTAATAATAATTTTACCAATAATAATCTTAGTTTTATTAGCCATATTTATCTTCATAATCACCCTAATTAATTTAATAACTATAAAAATAAGATTCAAAAAATTAAATTTAATAATTATAAAGTCCATAATAATAAAACTAATCATAATAAAATTAGTAATAATAAAATTAATAGTAACAAAATTAATTATAATTAAATTAAAATTAATAGAATTAAAATAAATATTAATATTACTAAAATTTATAATCTTGGAAATTAAATTACAATATACAAACTGATATTGATAATAACAAGGTGAACAGGGCTTAAACTATTTATTGTCAAAATATTAATTTAAGTTAAAAATAACATAAAATAAGTAAACCTAATAATAATGAAAACATAACTGATGATTAAAATTAGAATTCTTTTTTATGTATAAAGGCTGAAAATTTATAATTTAATTAAAAATAATAATAATATTAATTCTGCTACTTAAATGTATTAATAAGATAAGTTTATAGAATAATAAAAAAATTTAAAAAGCGATTTTAAAATTTATTTTAAAAATGCATTTGCAAATAACAATAATATAAATAAAATAAGCTAAGAAAAAAATAAAAATAATAATTCTTTAGGATAAAATAAAAATAGATCAGCAACTAATCCGATTTTAATTAATTAATATGAAAATGCTAAAATTGTAAACGTTTAATAAAATATTAAAAATTTAGAAAAATAATAAATATAAATGTAAGGTTAAAATTAAAATTAATCAAGAGGTTTATAATAAGTTTTAATTTAAAATATATTTCTTACAAATAATAAAATATAAAATTAAAATTATTAATACTTTAGTACAAATAAAGATTAAAAAATATGTAATTATGATAAAAAGTAACAATAAAATAATTATTAAAGTGTTAGTATGTTAGAATAAAATAATAGAAAATATTAAATTTGACAAAAAAAAAAAAAACAAACTATATTAAAAAGTTAAAAGCTAAAATTTAAAAATTATTTTTATTCTATGTGTAAAAATATGATAATGAATTAAATATTAATATATATATTAATAAATACAAATTAAAAAAGTAAAAAAAACAATTTATCAGTAAATGAAAATAAATTTAAATTAAATAAAATGAGTAAAAGCATATATATTTTTTATATGTTATTATAAAAAGTATTTTTTAAATGATTAAATTATTAAATATTTATTATTTAGTATAATTTTATTAAATTTAAAATAAAAAATATTTTTAATAAAAAAATAAAATTTTTAAAAAAATAAAGATAATAAATGTAAAGTTATTTTAAAAACAGATTAAATGCAAAAAATTAAAGAATAAATTATATATATATATATATATATATATATATATATATATATATATATATATATATATATATATATATATAAATTTTTTTATA